ATCCACTTTCATGTGTGCTTATTTATATAGATAGTGTTTTATTGATACAGCACTGAAAAATGTGTATCAATCTTGGAGTATGAAGTGTTTTTGATTTGAGCTTGAGTCATCATTTGTTTGTTGGCCATGCGAGAATGTTTGAATATGTATTCTATATGCACTTTGTAAGTTTGGGCCAGGTTCTGAGCCATAGTTGATAATGTGTGGAAAGCTGGAACGGGTCATTGACATTAGAGTTTATGAGACTGTAAAAATGTTGTATATTGATTATCTTGGTTAACCAATCTATTTGAATGCTATTTGCGTTTATTCTTATATTTGTTTAGCTATGTTCTAACTGGGCTGTGGCTCACCCTTTTTATGGGAATCAGATTGGAGGGACCCCTTGTCTGCTACAAGTTTGTAAGATATTTATACATGTCAATTCATTTGTATTGGCCACTATATTAGTATTGTAATTGCGTTCGAACTATTACAAGATTTGGGCGTGGGAGAGATTGGATTTCGCATGCGCCGTCTAGGCGGCAACTGGTTTGCTTCCTGGTGAGGTTCCCATCGTGCAGAGAGACATGCAGTTGTCGACCGGTCCTCGAGGTAGCCGGGTGGAGGGTTGACATGGGCCACTGAGGTCGTACTCGACCCCACGTTAGTCGTCGTGTATTAGAGGGACCAGCTTGACCGGATGATGACGACGAGGTAATCAAATTTAAATACCTAAATTTTAATTGTCATATGGAGTCGTTATATGTTCATGGCAGCGATTTTATTATAGACTTGTCGTTATTGTAGTTTATTCTTGGCAGGCCTTAGCTGAGGTCCTCGAATACCACTCTCACAGACTATTGCCGACTATGGTAGAGATATGGATGGCGAGAGTGCCCACTCATTCTGTTTGACATGTGAGTGGCATCTTCCCTGATCGTGTCCTCCGACAAGTTGGTCGGGTTCCAGTCAGTGCTGGCTCGCCCACGTCTGTCAGTCGCATGCAACCGGCCACTCGGAGTCACACCGATCCCGGTTCGGACTGGACTCGACCAAACTGTCGGAGTACTACGTATCAGGCGAGATTTGGCACTTCAACATTGTCAAAACAAATGAGTGGCAACATCCTCGCCATTCCATATCTCGCCACCTAGTCGGGCAATAGTTGAGGAAGTGTATCGAGGACTCTCGCAGCAGTTTAAGGCTAGCCAGAAAAGATCTAAACTACAATAACGACAAGTCTATTTTTAAAAATCGCTCGAATTCTGAACATATACACTGGCCATATGACAATTAAAAATTTAGGTATTTTAAATTTGATACCTCTGTCGTCTATCATCTACGGGTCAAGCTGGTTTTATCGTTCGTTCTATTTACACGACGACTACGTGCGCGTCCGATACGGACTCCTCGTGGCCCACATGTCAACCCTCCACCGGCTACCTCGAGGTCCGGCCGACAACTGCATGTCTCTCTCGCCGATGGGAACCTCACCAGGAGCAACCAGTTGCCGCCTAGACGGCGCAATGCGAATCAATCTCTCCCACGCCCAAATCTGTAATAGTTCGAACGCAATTACAATACTAATATATGCCATACAATATGAATTGACATGTAATAAAATTCTTACTAACTTGTAGCAAGACAAGGGGTCCTCCAATCTGATTCCCATAAAGGGTGAGCCACAGCCCAGTAGAAACATACTAAACCAAATATAATGAATAAAGCAATAGCATTCAATAGATGGTTAACCAAGATAATCAATTACAACATTTTACAGTCTCATAACTCTAATGTCAATGACCCGTTCCACTTTCCAACATTATCAATATGGCTCAGAACCTGGCCAAACTTACAACAGTGCATTATAAATATCATATTCACATTCTTCCAATGCCAACAAACAAATGAGACTCAAGCTCAAATCAAAACACTTCATACTTCCAGATTGATACACATTTTAGTGCTGTATCAATAAAACACTTCTATATAAATAAGCACACATAAAAGTGGTGCTAATGGAGTCCATCCCCTATCTCCTCGCAAACAAAATCCGGTTTAGAGGTCCATCTCCTATCTTCCCCTAAACCGTGGAGTACATCCCCTATCTCCTCCCATACAAAATAATGTATGCAAATGCAATGCTCAATCAATACACGTATTTTCTGTATCAATGCAATAGTCAAACTTAATGACTTAACCAATGTGATTAGTTTCAGTTATTCCTAATCCACATGCAATGTCTACAACAATCACGACTATCCTCCACCGATAGCCCAAAACAGTTATTTCTAGACTGGAAATAAATATATCAACCATTCAATGGACGAGTGATTTACACTATCCAACTACACCATTTAAGCATTAAATTGCCCAATTTCATGAATTTAACCATCTTTTCCCAATTCCATGAATTAATTTTACAAATTAATTTAATAATACAACTAGGGTTTTTCCCAATATTACCAAAGTATTTCCAACATATCAAAATACCAAAACTTAGAACAAAACTTATAGAATGGAGTAGGAAATCCCTACCTCGAAGAAGACAACCCAAATGGAGAAGACAGAGATGAATACCCAAATACCAATGTGCTCCAAATCGACAATTGTTCAGATTAAATGAAAGCCCTCGACTCCCTCTATCTTTTTAATAAAGCAACTAGGGTAGAAACACACTCTAAACAGATCAAACCTAAGAAAGAAGGTGAGTAGGGAGAGAGAGAAGTCGGACCTAAAGTTTGGAATCAAAAGAAGATGAAAAAGACTGATCAAAACCCGCTGCTGCGTATATAAACTGGACAGGCTCGCTCGAGCGAAGACTTGGTCGCTCGAGCGACCAGACACAGAGAAGCTACGCTCGAGCCAAGGAAGCCTTGCTCGAGCCAACAACCCAAAAGCTCGCTCGAGCGAAAGAAAACTCGATCGAGCGAAGAACTCAAACCCTCAGGTCTGAACCCAGACACACGCTCGAGCGAAGGAACCATCGCTCGAGCGAAGAACGAACTAACTCGCTCAAGCGAAGAAAAGCTCGCTCGAGCCAAAAACCCCTGCTCTCAGGTCTAACTACAAAATGCAATCCTCGCTCGATCGAAGAAACCCTGGCTCGAGCAACGGACCAAAACAAAGAGCTCGCTCGAGCGAATAACTGCTCGCTCGAGCGAAGAGTCAAAATTCTGGGCAGCAGAACCAAAAACAACAGCTCGCTCGAGCGACTAACTCCTCGCTCGAGCGAAGATCCAAAATTCTGGACAGCAACACTTGGTTTCTAAACCCAACTAACCTGAAACAAACCTGCCCAACACATCCAATAACTTCAAATAAGAAAATATGGAACAACAACAACAATTATAAAATGACAGAACCTACGGAACCTAAGTCCGGATACAATAATCAAATGGGAAAAGACCGGGGTCGCTATATATCAGGGAGAAGTACCCTCCCAATAAGCCACAGAATATATGCTCGGGCATGCTGATGTACTAACTCATCTGGAGCATGATCTGGAAGATGGCCCTGAAACTGCTCGGACAGCCACCTCACCCTCACTCTACCTGCCTGTAAGTCTGCAGGTGTAGGTGCTACTCCCAATAACTCAGCACATAGGGCTATCCACTGCTCCCTCGTCAATGATGGGTCAGGTCCAGTAACTGCTCGGCCATCAATCCGTAGACCGTATAGGACAGATACGTCCTGCAATGTGACGGTGGCCTCACCGATCGGGCAATGAAATGTATGAGTCTCTGTGCGCCACCTCTCGACGAGAGCAGTAATGAGTGGGTGGTCCAGTCTGATATGGCCTGTATGATATACACCATAGAATCCTGCGCGTAGTAGACACTGCAAGACTCTATGGTCCAATGGATGCTCCCACAGGCCGGAATCTCACCGCCGGCATGCTACCACGGCGCGTGCCTGGTCCTGCATAACAGAATAAGTAGTTTAAATTATAGCATTATCACGTAATATAAAACAAAATGCAGGATATTTTCATTGTAAGCATAAAGTCCAACAAACGTTATTGCATACCGGGTCCTCCCATATACTGTCAGCCCGATGTGGATGACTAAAAAGTGGGACCTCATCAGGTAGATGTGCCATGAAGCCTGTACAGTTGAAAAATAAATACATTTTTAAAAACTGTATTCGTGAGCATGTAATTTAACTATAACAATTAAACAATTAATTATTCAGTACATGACGACTTGAAAAAGTATCAAATTTGTGTGGTCGATTATTTTAAAAGTATCAATTTGTGTGTCATTAACATGGAAGCAATTCACTAAAATCTAAAGTTTGCATATTATGTGCCATTAAATATGATAACCAATTCAACAGAACCTATCGTTATGTACGCTATAACTAATATAGAAATCTTTTACAAAATCATTTTACGGTCTCAGTTACATAAGCTTAATAACGACCAGTAACAAGTCGATAGTTTTCGTACATAAATAATTGCGAACAACAAGAATGAGAATTTTTTTTCCAAACCTTCATTATTGATTTTGGCATATTTGACAAAACTTCATTACATTTATAGCATATTTGACAAAACTTCATTACATTTATGGCATATTTGACAAAACTTCATTACATTTATAGTATATTTGACAAAACTTCATTATTGATTTTGTAAGGTTTTTTTTCCAAATAAAGTATACAATTTGTAAATTACGTACATCTAGTTCAGAAATTGTAAATGTACAAAATGCTCGCATCAGTCAAACTATTAAAATCTTCAAATGGTAGAAGAACTATGTGATTTTAACTAAAATTTTGTAATAGACATTTTCAATCAAGTAGAGAATAAAAAACATAGGCCTATGTGATATAGTTAAATGTTTTTGCATTGTCATTTAGTTTAATTATTTGTTTAGTATGTTAGTTGTAAATTTTGGAGGGCCTATCAAACAATTACAATATATAAAGAATTACAAAATAGAAATGATCTATTACAAATAAAAAATTATCTATTTAAATGTACGACCCCGTTTACAAATAATGAATTACAAAGGAAAAGAAAATTATCTATTACAAATAAAGAATTAAGAAATGATCTATTACAATATGTAAGTCATACATAGTCTTCATCGACCAACTCGTGCCGGACATGTTCGCCTGTCATGACCTGTCTGCTGGCACTGACTGCAACGAGCGGTCAAACGCCTATCTGATATGTCCATCTCATTCGGAATACGAGACATAGATGCACAACCCCGTTTAACTTCTCGCAGACGCAGTACATTAGGCATTAAGGTTCACTGCGGATCAGCCCAATAATCTTGATGCAGTATTGGATTGAATTTAGTTTCCCAAACCCACATGTATACAGGAAGCCTATATACTAGATCAACGTACTCGAATGGATTGTCACCGCATTCAGACATTACAGCGAGCATATGAGAACATGGATAGTGTCGTATCTCATATTTCCCACAACTGCACTTGGGTTGATTCATCCGCACAATTTGTGTATTGCGACCTCGTCCATGGCGAAAAGATGTTTGCACCTCAAACACGCGGCGTGGCCTATCAGAAAATTATAATAGAAATTAATCAAGTTCATGTTTTTAGGTGTACTTAACTTAACAACATAATAACAACAATTTAGTTTATATTACAAACTAACCTGTCATATGATATCAACCTAAAAGTATTTGCCCTTGCGATGCCATCCTCAATAGTTTTTTGCATATCTCTAGGGTATTGAAACTCATTTCGTACATCTATTTCAGCTTGGGCTCCCATCTCGTCAAAATATTTTACAAGCCGCCGAAATGTAAATTCAACCATAGCTGAGATAGGTAAGTTCCTTGCACCTTTCAAGACGCTATTGAAGCACTCTGCATCATTGCTAGTCAATACCCCCCAGCGATGTCCACCGTCATACGAAAGGGCCCACTCCTCAGGATTCATCTTGTAAACCCAAGTGATGGCTTCTTGGTCAATAGCCTGTATTTGTTGTAAGTAACCATTACACTTCCGTCGTTGATGAGCACTCCCTGCTTTCCATAGAAGTTGTTTCAGCTCCTTATTTCTGAACGTAGTGTTAAAGTTACTACAAACATGTCGAAGGCAGTGCCGATGATATCCAACAAATTGGAGCGAGGGATTCAACCAATGCCGCCTCACAGCAGCTAAAATACTCTCAGCTCGATCAGATATCAAAGTCACTCCCTGTCGATCCATGACAATATGTTCCTTGATATTTGAAATGAAGAACGACCAAGACTCAAAACTCTCCTTGTCGACAACAGCAAATGCAAGCGGTAGTACTTTGCCATTGGCGGTGACAATCGTTGCTACAAGCAACACACCAGTGTATTTCCCGTATAAGAATGTACCATCTATGGTTATAACAGGCCTACAATGTCTGAATCCATCGATGACGGGTTTGAAAGACCAAAAAACAAAGTGGAAGACGGGCATAATGGTTGTACTTCCGGTATATTTGTGCTTCCATTGCACGATGGTACCAGGATTAGATGTTTGTAATGCATACATGAATTTAGGCAACATCATATATGATTCATCCCAATCTCCGAATACCATTCGAATTGCCTTTGCCCTTGCATGCCACGCCTTCTTGTAATGTATAGTATAGTTCATGGATTTTTTTATGTCTTCGATGACATTCTTAATGGGCATATCAGGTTCGTTCTGCATACAACAATACCTATGAGTCAGATTATTTTGGTGTGAACACTTTAAAGACACAATTTTGGTGTGAACACTTTAAAGACACAATTTTGGTGTGAACACTTTAAAGACACAATTTTGGTGTGAACACTTTAAAGACACAATTTTGGTGTGAACACTTTAAAGACACAATTTTGGTGTGAACACTTTAAAGACACAATTTTGGTGTGAACACTTTAAAGACACAATTTTGGTGTGAACACTTTAAACAAACAAATATGTATATAAATGTAAACATTTATTTTGTATACTCACCGCAACTTGTCCCAAAAGATGAGAAGCAATGTAACTGGAGCTAATATTTGTGTGGTCCCTGTTCGTTCGTGGGTATAAACAATGGTGAGGACCCCTATACTGCTTTATTTCAAAAAGCCCATGTCTCTTACTAAGAGATGCACGCAACCACCATCTACAGTCGTGCTTGCAAGCACACACCCAAACGTCTCGCTTGGAGGTTACGACTTTATACTCTCGATTATTTGTTGCATGGTACAATTTCACAGCATGTACGAGTTGCTTCTTATCAACGAAAACCATCCCTTTGTCCAACTCTGGATTTTCAGCATTCCAGATTCGGTTACGGGGAACGACATCGCGGTTACTAATGTCAAAATCACCACCCATGTGAATGTTTTCAAAGAAAGGGATTTCAGGTCTAGGTGGAATGGGGGCATTCTGAATATCAACGGGAGCGTCGACATCATCTTCTTCATCATCATCATCATCTGATCCGCCCAATAAATTTTCTTCATCACACATTTCATTCTCATCATTGTCTAGGGCGACATCAGGACCGTACATGTCACTGTCAGCAAACTGCACAAAATTAACCGTTTCAGCCATATTACCAGCAACTTCAACTGGAGTCGTATGATGGCTATAGGTGGGCACATCTTGGGTGTTATTGTGAAATTCAGTCTCGTATCCACCATGTGAACTTGATTCTCCACCATGGCCATATGAAATGTCTGTTTGTGTGTAGCCAGCTACATAACATTCATTCGATTCATACATAGGAGACTGAAACGGCTGTCGTGTTAATCCCATGTGTTCAGCAATGAGTGACGGGATGAGAAAATCCCATCTGTGTTTTTTTTTTTTTTTTTTTTTTTTTTTTAAAATTTTTTTTTTTTTTTTTTTTTTTAATAAAATTACGGGAAGATTTTGTTACACACTGTTTCTCAATGTAACTTCCAAACAAGTTTGGTGGTTGGAAACTTCCACCGATACTTAATATCGGTGTTCACGCCGTCATCGTCATTGATCGGTAATATTTTGGTATTTGCTGGTTGCTTGCCACGGCGATAAAGGATATCTGCATTTGAAGATCAATCGGACTATTTCCCGTACACTTGCCACCTTGGACATAACATCTCCTCCAAATTGCTAAGTGTGGTGCGCAAGTTGCACCCATATATCCTTTCGGGGCTCAAGGCATCATATGATACAGCCTTCATTCGGGATCCGCGAATTTATGTGTGTTCCCCCCCAGTAGAAAGAATAATTGGAACAGTTGCCATATAGCTTGCTTCAATGAAACAGTAAACATTAAAATATGAGCAATTACATATATCGAAACAATGTACATATAAGCCAAAGCATATTATCAGGCATAATAAGACAACCTTCACCATTGCGGCAAGGGTCTCCGTAGTTATCAATATGAATAATTTTTAAAAGGCATTCACTGAAATAAATAAATTAAATAAATAATAATACTCTACAGAACCGTTAATTTACCGCAACGATTTAATCGTACTTTGTATTCACGGGATCCGAATTAGTGCTTTGTATTCATAAAAGATGTGAGTCTAGTATAGGGCTTGTAAATGGTTACTTAAAAAAGGTTCATGTTCTTAATGGTAACATGGAAAAACATTTAAAAACTTAAATGATAATATGAATAGTGGTAAGATAAACCAAAGAGATATAGGTTTAGTGTTGACTAAGGAGTTTGAGGTGGAATTCTTGCACTAAAGAGAGATGAAATCAGGTAATTTATTAGGATAAGATTGTTTCCCTATTGAGGGTTTTGGAAATGTTTAGATAATGGAGGAGTGTTGTC